ACACAAATTCATACATCTAATCACTGGAATAGGGATGCATCACTTACCAGTAACCTTTGACTCATTTTGAACCCGGTTGCCGATTGGAGTACGGAGCTGGCCTCCATCTGCCGCGGTATCCATGGTGCCGATTCCAGTCGATGGACTCGGCTGGCCTCTGTATTCTGCCGTAGGCATTGCTGTTTCAAATCAGGAAAATTACTCTTTACTGTTCGTCTCTATATGTTGACACTAATGCTCAATCGTAGTCTCACAAATCAGAAGCCATGTGTAATAATCCTGAGTTGCAGTTAACAACAGCATATACGGTGTGGTTAATAACCTTACTTTTGTTAGTTTTGGTAACTGAATTCTTTTGTTTACCACTGCAGTTACCATCTGTATCAAATGTGCAATTAGAGCCATTTGAGGTCAACATTGACAAGCTTGATCTCGTGCTTGTAGAGAAGGACGATTCTGAAAATCTTTCCAGCCCTACCAGGTGAATTTCATTTATTTATGTCGTGATTTACAGCTATCGTGTGAGCAGTTTGTAATTGTACTTCTTTCTGTTGTCTTTTCTAGCACTGCGTCATCTCCATCATCAGCAACTAATAGTGATTAGTTGGAAAATAACAGGGCAAACTTGGAAGTGGGCGCCGATCTATCCTAGTGCCCGAACAAACACAAATTCATACATCTAATCACTGGAATAGGGATGCATCACTTACCAGTAATCTTTGACTCATTTTGAACCCGGTTGCCGATTGGAGTACGGAGCTGGCCTCCATCTGCCGCCGTATCCATGGTGCCGATTCCAGACGATGGACTCGGCTGGCCTCTGTATTCTGTCGTAGCCATTGCTGTTTCAAATCAGGAAAATTACTCTTTACTGTTCGTCTCTATATGTTGACACTAATGCTCATTCGTAGTCTCACAAATCAGAAGCCATGTGTAATAGCAGTACATCTTAGTACTAATTGCAATGATGTTTATGTGGCACAATAGCAGTACATGGTTTTCGTCCTTGAATCGTGGAGATCGTCGTAGTAGCACAAATGCATACATCAAATGAATATGAAGGAGAGATGTATATCAGTTACCTTCGATCCCGGTGCCGTTGGCAGGAGATGAATTACTGTGCCGTCTTCTTTCTCCTGTGCCGCCGAGGGAAACTGCCGAAAGAAACTGAGAACGGAGAGAAGTACGCGGGTTGTTGAGATCCTATAAATTAGGAAAGTGGAACTAAAATGGCGCCGGTGAGAAGAGACGGTAAGCCGCTATTGAGCCATATTGGGCCGACGTGGCTCGCATGACTAGCGTGCTGCCTTTGCCGATGATACATGCTCCCGTTCGTCAAAACCTGCACGCACGCACGAACAGCATCATCAGTCGTCGTACGTCGCAGGAACGAACAAAGAAGGTAGCATGTATCATGCAGTCACGTGTACGTCGCAGGAACGAACAAAGAAGGTAGCATGCATCATGCAGTCACGTGTACGTCGCAGGAACGAACAAGGAAGGTAGCATGCATCATGCAGTCACGTGTACGTGCACGAAAGGCTACTATATATCTACCGCTGTACGTCTACGTGTACGTGCCAGTGTTTCACGGGCACAGCTTGGGGCTAGCTACTACGTACCTAGGTAGTTGATCGTACGTATGTACTCCGTACGTGCTAATTACGTGTCGTAAGCTCGATCGTGTTTGACGGATGGTTGTTGATGTTGACTGATCGATTGAAAAAGATCTCAAGTAATAGTAAGCAGATCGAGGTTCGTACATACCAAGTTGTTGGTCATGACGTAGCACTATCAGTACGACACCACGACATGTACAATAGCAACTGAACCGAGTTGTTGGTCATGCCATGGCATTATCAGTACGACGCCCCGACATAGTAGTATTTGCCATTTTTAGCATTTATTTAAAAAATAATTTTCTTCACTAAAAAAAATTAAAAAATAATTTTATCAACTTACATTTTAGAATGGTTTCCTAATTCTTGAAAAAAACATATCCCTCTATTTTGTCCCTATATATATGCCTATATGATAGCAAGTGAACCAATAGGCCTAACATGATAGGAACTAAGCCGCTATTGTCATGTGACGTCCAAGTGGGACTAACATGGCAGTAGGTGGACATAATCGGGCACTCGATGGCATATGACATGGCACTCGATAGGACGAGACTGCAGGCGAAGTTGTTGGTCACAATGTGGCACTATCAGTACGCCACCATGACATGTACCTACGTGTGAGACTACCAAGTTGTTGGTTATGACGTGGCACTATCAGTACGCCACCACGAATGTACCTACGAGTGAGACTACCAAGTTGTTGGTTATGACTGATAGGCCTAACATGAACCAAAGTGAACCAATCACTCTTACATGTACTCCGAGTGTACTAATATGCTTAACATGATAGGAAGTGAATCGATCGGTCTCATGTCTTTCCAGAGTGATGAACCACTAGGCATAACATGATAGGAACTAAGTCGCCACTTGCACGTGTCGTCCGAGTGCACTAATAGGCCAACATGATAGTAATTTGAACCGGACACTCTAACCATGTGTTTTTTAAAGTGTGAACGTGAGTTTTTCTTATTTTTAAGTTCTGGCTTTTTATTAGAAATTAGTAGCGTAACTCAAAACAATTAGCATGGATTATGGATGAGGAAAAGATTGTGGAGGGTGAAAAATAAATAAAATACAAAGAATTTGGATATGAATGGTGATAGCCTCCCTAGCGGCAGATATATAAAAGAATTAAATTTTAAAATAAATGGTGACAAAAAAAATTGTTGCCATGGGCCAGCATCAGCTAGGTTGGGCTCGACCACGAAGGGAGCCCAGCCAGGCCGCGCCAGCCCAATTGGCCCAGGTAACGAGTGAGAGTAGGTATTGTGTAGTTCGATCGCTGCTACTTCTCCGGTTCTTTTATGCTGCGTTTTTGCGTGGTCAGCGAGCGAGGTGGGACTAAACTAGTGTAGATGGCTGACTGCCTTATTCAATTGGATTTGTTGGGCCATGACCTGATGGGCAGGCCCGGTTACAGGTCCCTTCTTCCCCGCTGAGCCGCATCAACCGGGTGAATCCACCGCCGCCCGATCCATCGAACGCACCCCCCGAGGTTCCCCGCTCACGTGCCAATAAACAGTAGGCCCAGAGCACCGCGCCGCCCCCTTTGAACCCTAAAGGAGCCGCCCCGAGCACTAGCCCTAGGCCGCGCACCGCCATAGCCGCTGATCTCCGCCTTCACCGCATCACCGGCGTCTAGAACCCTTCATGACCTTCGCAGCGAGGTGAGCAATCCGTTGGTGCCCGCCCCGCCCTCTCTCTCGCTCTCTCCCGTGCTGTTTTTGAACTCCAGCACATGATGATGCTTTTTTTCCTTTGTCCCGTGGTACTTGTTTCAGATCAGTATAGGCATGTTTCATGAATATATTGTTGCTATAGTATTCTTGATCCGTTATATTTGTAATCTTTGGATTAGATGGATCTTGACCACTGCCTGGATTTAGGCATCTAGTTACCCGCATAGGCTGCAATGGTGGAATCACACTAAGCAACATGCTCTGAAACTTAGACCGATGGAATCACACTAACCAAAATGGAAATCTTCCCACTGAGTTCTTCCCCACAATCCATGGTAGGTTGATGGCATCATGGGATGCGACCGTGATAACAAAAGCAACAATACTGAGTGCTTTATTTTCCTATTTACACGCTTTCTTTGTCAAATTATCATGCAAGTTCAGTTCTTCCCTCATGAATTTATCACTAGTTGGTCAAGTACATGTATGCTTTGTTTTGATGGATTTACGGCGCTACGTCAAACTTCAGGTACCATGGATCTTGCAAACCACCTCAAGGAGTGGGGACGAGATGGCTACCAAACTAAAGGCGGACTTCGAGGATATGAAATTGAAGTTCTGAGCTTGACCGTTCCGACGCGACATCGAGAACAAAACAAGTGCGACAACAAAATGAGCGGTACATAATTTCTCAAGTAAAACTTCACTGGACGAAGGGTCAACCATTGAGCAGAATGACGTTCTTTGTGAGAATGGAGGTCGCCTTTGGGTCGCTTGTTGAAGCAAGCGTTACATGATCGGCGTCTTTGCCTTTGCCGAGAAGATGAAGCGAGGCGTGCCGTCTTAAATCAATCCTTATCAAAGGTCCTTGAAGAAATTGATGCCAACATAAAGAAAGAGCGAGCCAACGTTGACTCCATGATTAAAGGCAGGGGAACAAATGGATAAGGAGTTGGAAAATGAGCGCCAAAATTGAAGCCAATGATTCAGTCCTTGATCGAACAAGAGGAGGGCCGGTCCTTGATCCAAGAAGATGAGGTCCGTGCCAACATGAATGTAGAGGTAACTACTGAGACGCTAGTATTTCATATTTTGCATTACATAGATAGCCATTTGAACACCTGGAATCTTTACACTTTCGTGTACAAGATGGGATCTACATACCACGGAAATACATGCATATATTATTGGACAACGAGTGTGGACCGGTATATGAAATTTTAAATGACAAGATCCGTGTAAGAACTCCGTGTGGCCAAATTGTCCTTATTCGTCTAATCTATACGTGCAGGATGTTGTAATGCGATTTATCCTTCACTCAGTGAAGGAACTTTATTCGGATATGAAGAAGTACTACGATAGTCGAGAAGAATTAGGCCAGTTTACAATTGTAAAACCAGCCACTTCTGTTGAGTTTGTCACGATGTTGGGGGCTTTGAAACCTTTTGGATACGGAGGAGACGGACAGTTGTACTACCTCAATCCTGCTCCTAGGAGTCAGCCATCAACTAGGTTAGTACACATTGACGGACAAGAAGAGGTAAATGAATTGGTGCTTGCTCAAGAAAAAGAGGAGACTAAAATTTGTCATCTGTACCTAGTGAAAGGATGTAACGACGATTTGTACGGCGTGAGTATTGGTTCCTCTCCACAAAAATAACTACTTCATACAATCATATATGTATAACATGACAGCAACTTAATGCAGGACATGTCGGACTAAAATTGACTTCAAATTTTTCTTCGGGGCCCCTCTTCCAGGCACATGCAAGGGATCCAGCACATTACTGAACGCTACAGAATCAAAATCCGGGGCTTGTGGCAGCACCGGACCATACCTCTTGCCTCTGTTATCTTCTTCATTTGGCAGGTTCATAGCAACTTCATCCTGCAGAACGTGTTTCAGCCGCTCATATGATTCAAGTGAACGAGATGCTGCGAAGGCTGCAGCTTGACCGATATTGCGTAGCTCACGGTACCTCTGTAGGCTTTCGGAATAGTCATACATGGTGCTCTTCCTTTTAAGAGGAAATGCACTCTTCACCCCCATTGTCCACCTTTTCAAAACACAACAGTCTAGAAGCTTGTCTTCATCCAGATCGCCCAATACAAAGAAGATGTGTGAGCAGGGGGTTCCAATCGATTGTAACTTACCACAAGAACAAGAAATTCCCTTCAGATTGCCTTCATCACAAAATAGACATTTGACATAGTACATCATGTCTCCTTTATCCTTCCTGCCAACAATATACTCACTCATATTATCGCCATCTAGAATGTCAATCGAAAAACACTTCTTGGCCGCCTTTATGTTGAACTGCACCGTGGCGAAAACTGTTGGAGTGAACGATTTCACGGCTTCTATCTCAATAATTGAAGCATCTGGTTCTATGCATGCCTCAGATTGTAATGCATCAGTGTCCAACTTTGCCTCATTTGTGCGCAGCCCTGAAAGACAGTGCTCCACGTGCTTTACCATGTCAAGCAGTGTCATTTTATGATCTAGACGCATATGAAGCCTAGAGTTTAGACTCTCACTCCGTTGGTTGCTCCTCAATCCTAAGTAGCACTTACCAGTATGATACGAAGCACACTAGATTTCTCTCATATCATACATCTGATACAACCATGACTCCTTATTTCTAACCTTATGCTTATCCAAAAATTCCTGCCATTTTCTCTCGGTCTCTTCTATGGACCAACAATCATAAAGGAAACTCCTAAATTCATCCTTGACAACATCATCCTTAAGATTACGCACAATGTTCTGCTCAATATGCCATATACAGAGCCTATGCGATGAATTCGGCCACACAAGCCTGATTGCTCTCTGCATAGCAAGGTCTCCATCAGTGATCACGGAGATCGGATGCTTCTGAATCATGGCCTCGGAAAATGTACTCAACAGCCACACATATGACTCAATATTCTCATGAGAAATAATTCCACATCCAAAAATAACTGTGCTTCGATGGTGATTCACCCCAACAAAAGGAACAAGGGGTAGGTTGTACCGATTAGTTTTGTAGGTGCTATCAAATACAATGACATCACCAAATGCTTCATAATCAAGCAGACATTGACTATCACACCAGAATAGTCCCTTTAGGTGTCCTTCCCCATCAACCATGTACTTGAAAAAGAAATCAGGATCTCTGCGCTGAAGTTCTGTCAGGTAACTGATGACTGTTTGAGCGTCATCGGCAGCAATTGTCTCCACCTTATAGCGATGGCAGAAATTATACAAGTCCCTTGTTGTACACCCAACCTTATCATACCCACCATACTGTATTTCCAAAATATCTATTATCTTGTGTTTGCGGATCCCAGAACTCTTCATCTCCACAATCTCAGCTTTCTGCTCATCGTTGATTCTTCTATGTGAACGTAGCAGACAAGTAAGCTCTGCTGGCGCCATCGGATGGTTGTGTTCATCGATGAAATCCTTCACATACCAGTGCCCTGTGATCTGATCTCGTGCAATCACAAATTTAGCAAGGCATCCAACACGGGTAATATTCCGCGGCTTCCGCTTCTTAATCGCCTTCTTCAGCTGCTTCTCTTCACGGAAACCTTGACGACTGCAAACGAACTTCCGAAGAGTCATCTCATTGTGGCCATTGTCCCACTCACAATAGCTTCTCCTCACACTAAATCCTTTCTCAAAACCGTAGTTATTATAGAACTGAAATCCTTCTTCTTCATTAGCAAACAACTTCTTGACAATTTCATTGTACTCCAGCAAAGACTCAAGATCTGACATTTCCTCCTGTATAGATGCTTGTATATTATGAAACGGGGAACAGTAAATTACAACAAGAACCAAACAGCTGGTACAAGAAGACATTTCCCAAAAAAAGTAAAATCACTTCTGAAAATAAAATCACAGCAACAATAGGCGATACAATGAGATAGAGTATTTTGTTAGCCTGTGAGTTATTAGATAAAAGACGTGTATATTAGTGGGATAGAGTATAACAAATACAAAGACAAAATCAGCTGAGGAAAGCCTTTTCTATGCAAAAAGGAAAATACTTGCAAAGGCCATAGATAATTAATATTTTTAAACATCTCTATAATATGGCTGCCATGGAAAGTGGCTGACAATCTAAGATAGCATGATTATAGTACAGAGAATAATGTGAAAGCTCTTTGAGCCGTTAGAGTTCATGGTCTCTCTGATTTGGCATGTGCAGCACAGCAGCAGGCAATATGAACTAGTTGATTTGTAGGCATAGGGCGGGAAAAAACAGTGAACTTGTATTAACACTCAGCATTTTAAGAGGGCATGGTCCCTATGATTTGGAATGTGCAGACCAGCAGCAAGCAATGTAAACTGGTTGATTCATATAGGCATAGGGCGGAGAAAAACAGTAAACTTGTATTACAACTCGGCATCTTAAGTTATCGAAAGAAATAAATATTAGGTAGTAACCATAGCAGAGAAGTGTTCGTAACAACATAAACACTAATAATTGAGAGAGAACTAGAGGGGTTTAATTGGAACTCACCAGTTACGACTTGTGCGCGGCTGCAGTCCTACAGATTGAAGAAGAATTGTGCTGCTGCAGTCCTGCGGATTGCGGAAGTGCAGCGTATCAATGCATAAAAATAATTAGAGCTAATAATTTGCTTAGGAACTAAGAGGAACCAAGAAGTACCCCCAACCACTGTAAAAGAGCTCTATTTTTTTCTTAAAACCAAGTTACTAAAACATCCAAAACTAGATAAAAACTACTCAGCAGGAAGTACATCATGAAACAAGTTTTCCTTCTTGCTTTTCCAACCACTTCTTTACAGCGGAACACAAGTTCTGATCAGCAGGATCAGTTTTGGATGACTAGGTGAGTCTAACCAGGAACTAGATCGAAAGTTGGAAACAATCAGATTCTAGTAAAAAGAGTTGGTAAATGTCAATTTATCTACATTAAAATATTAAGCTTCCAGGTTTAATTGTGCCATGGTCATTGCATTCTTTTTAGCTGCCAAAGTTGTACTTAAATTCTAGTTTGTACTTTGAGTAGCGAGGTTGAAGTGTGTGATCTAGAAATCAAAACACCAAGGCACCAAGCAATGCAATTGGTAAGGTTTCTGCTTGATAAAAATGGTGGTGCACTCTTTTATATCTATGGACAAATATATGTAACAAATTGCATTCATGAACACATCTTAACAGTAGACTAAATCAAGCACCAAACTGACATAAAACATATTTCAGTATCGTAAATATAATTTTAAAAAATTATGGTTCTTCTATTGGGACCAACTAAAAACCTTTAGTAGATGATATTATTCCAACTTAGCATATGGACATAAGGTGCAAAATTTCTTTTGGCTCTCAGGCAAAAAGGAGAAACGAATTTTAAATCTCCACAAGAACAATTAGAAGCTCAGATAAATTAGTCAAATACAATAATTTTGTTGGGATTTTCTGACACTGAAATATGACTTGTAGCCTATTTGAATAGCAACACATGGAATTGCTAGAGTTTGGTTTTACAGTAATAGATAGAATTCTCTGAAAGAGATAATGAACTTTTACTATATCCAGGCATGAATAAGGAACTGCAAGCAGCAGATCTACCTAACACTACTATACTGGACGGAGGTCGATCGAACAGGGAGTAGAATTGCCATGAGATCGAGGAAGAAAAGAGAATGAAGAAAACATGCGGATGCAGACCTTGAGAGGCAGGCGGCGGCACCTTGGAGTCGTGGAGCAGGAGAGGAGCGTCCTTGGCGGCGGCGGCGGCGTACAGCGAGAGGAAGTCGTGCACGTGCGTCGCTGCCTTGTAGTCGTGGAGCAGGAGAGGAGCGTCCTTGGCGGCGGCGCGGCGGTGTACAGCGAGAGGAAGTCGTGCGGCGGCGACGGTGCGCGTGGGCGTGGGGTGCCGGGGGGAGGAGGGAGGAGCGACCGGTGGTGGCGAGGGCAGGCCGGTGGCGGCGGCGCCGCGCGATGGCGAGGTCGAGGGCGAGGCAGCCGCGGCTAAGGCCGAGGGCAGGAACTGCTCGCGTCCTTCGGCTGCGCGTGGGCGAGGCGTGCGTCGCCGCCTTGTAGTCGTGGAGCAGGAGAGGAGCGTCCTTGGTGGCGGCGGCGGCGTACAGCGAGAGGAAGTCGTGCGGCGGCGGCGGTGCGCATGGGCGAGGGGTGCCGGGGGGAGGAGGGAGGAGCGACCGGTGGTGGCGAGGGCAGGCTGGTGGTGGTGGCGCCGCGCGATGGCGAGGTCGAGGGCGAGGCGGCCGCGGCTAAGGCCAAGGGCAGGAACTGCTCGCATCCACGGAACTGCTCGCGTCCTTCGGCTGCGCGTGGGTGAGGCGTGCGGGTTCGGGTGCACGTGGAGGAGGGGTAGCGGGGGGAGGGGAGCCGCAATTACCCTATTAACCTTCCACTCATAAAATTAATTAGCGCTAATTAATTACTTAGAAACTAAGAGGAACCAAGAAGTACCCCCAACCACCGTAAAAGAGCTCATATCTGCAATATTACAACAGGGGGGGTGTTCCTAGTCTAAATACCTACTGTATTTAAGCCAAACTCAGACTTTTATGATTGATGAAAATCTACCACATGGTGTTCCGGCCTAGAGCTAAGTGACTTATCCTAAATTTCTTCCAAGTTCTTCATAGGCTTGTGAGGGAACGATTCGCCAGTATACAAAGGTTCTTTCGGGACCCCCTAATTCGTGCTCTAGGATTTCAGTCCTTTTGTGTCGATTAGTTATGGATTGTGGTTCTACAGTCGTTCGGAGATCGAGCTGAAGTCCTTCAAGATTTTGGTGCCTCTCTTCACATCGCTTGGCTAGGTCTAAAGCTGCTGGACTGTGTTCTTGAGTTCAGAATTGGGTCCAAGGATTCGGTGCCTCTCTTCCCATTACTTGGCCACATCCCAAACGGTACAAAACTATTTATCCTGGCTGAATTTTCAACAAATTATCCCTTGTTTGTACCTACTACCATGAAGATTGGACCTCCCTTCGGGTTGGTCCTCACCAGCGTCTCTCTAGGAGGAAGACAAGGTTGCTTATTTGCCATGGAAGATAAGACCATTAAAAAAAAAGGAGTGCTTGAAGTAGCAGAAGAATGCATGGAGAAAATTCCCTGGAAAAACAAATGCACGGGAAAAGGAAAAGTGGAAGAGGATACGTAAGGGAAATCAACTGAGCAAAGCGTACGTACCTAGCAGACTAGCTATGTAAAATTGTTCTCCAGCTTGTGACAATCTTCTTGTGAAATCTGCTTCGAACTCATTCTCTTCCTCTATGTCAAGCAAACGTAGTACAATCTTTTCATGGGTCCTATAGCTACCATGAAAACATAGTACAACCTTTTCTTTTATCTCGTCACAAGTGAAGGATAAATGCTTTATTTCCATCTTGGACGGCACGGTGTTGACATAAATGAATAAAGCATTTAAACTTAGAAACAACTTCAACATTATTTTCAGATAGATAAACAAAATGAAAGTCACACTATTAGAAACGGGAATATCCATGATGGTGCAATTACCGATAGGAAATAACCGTTAGGGATAAAGTGATGAGGGACATTAAAAATGTCTAACGGCCAACCGTCAAAAATAATTTTTCTGACGGTACATGATCGACAAGAAAATTAAAACCTGATAGGGATGAAAATCTACCTCTATCGGCCCCTATTGATAGGGAAATTCGACATCACCAACAAAAAAAATCATTTTTTGATGGGACAACACTAACAGAAGAAAATGGCAATTTTCGTGTCGGTGTTGTCACCGTCAAAGAATTGTGATTTTTTTGTCGGTCGTATCCCGACATGATAATTGTATTGCATTGAAGTAGAGCTTGTATATATAGTTCCCAAAAACGATAGATTTAATACAATTTTGACAGAATCATATAGCACTCATACATAATTCATGTGCCATTCATATTTAATATATATATATATATAGTACCATGAATCCAATATATACAAAGATGTGCTACTATTTGCATCAATAGCCACATACATAAGACATCCAAAGATTTAGCATCCATCTAGGCAAAACAAAAAGTTCTCCAAATACTTGGCATCAACATGACAACCGTAAGTGTTTCGGCACCATCACTACTAGCTAAAGGTTAGTAACTATACTTGGTGCTTTCAAGGAAGCATCTATTCCTTGGGTGCCTGTCTGTTCAAAACGAGTTTAGCTCCCAAACCTGAAATTTTAATATGAGCGACAAATATGCCTGTGCCACACGCACACGTATACAAAAACTATTTCGAACATAATAAAGAAATATATATAAAAGTATACAAAAGTTATTTTAAATGCAATAGAGAGTATTAATTATTAAGCACTTTATGCAACAGCCTGTTGGGTCCGAACGAGCAGCCGAAGTTCGCGACGCCCATGGTCCATGGCGCGGCGGCACCACGACGGCCTCCACCAGCGGGGCTGTTAGCAAATAATGCAAATAAAAATCGAATATGACACACAAATTTTTACATGGAAAACCCTTGCGGGCAAAAAACCACGGGCGCCAACCGGCGATCTTCACTTTACGAGGAGAGTTTACAAAACACAGGGAATGCAATGAGTCGTCTCGGTACTCTTCCCGTGCGGCTTACAAGATGTATTTATAGGACGGACTGACTGCAGTCAAATACGGAAACAAATCCACTAATAAACATAACCCGAACCGCGGGCTCTCCAGGCATCCCCGCAAGACTCAAATTAGAATTCGGATCATATTTCAACAAACTCCACCTTGAGACGAATTAGCAAATGAAGTATCATTG